AATTAAGTTTTATATGAGTCTATTTGTCTCTTCTCCACTACCCTTCCTCCTGCAAGAATGATCAGTACACCAACGAGACTTTTGTCGTTCGAATTCAATATTTCTCAAAGGCATGATATGTGCAAGTTTGAGCATTAAATCACCTGATAATGTTTTTTTACATTTATCTTCAGTTTAATGACAATTGCGTCCTTGTCTTGATACTCATGTTAACGGCTGCTTGTAATTCCAACAATTATTCTTTTTGAAAATTTCATAACCGCAACAGTCAGCTAGAAAGATGCAAGTGCTATTGTTCAGCTTGTTTAACAATTTAATGTCAGCAACTAGCTGATGTCTTCTTTCATTATGAAATTATACGTAATATTTGTTTTATCCTTCAAAAATTTCAATTTTAAATTTTAAAACTCTAAATTGCAAATTTTATTTAAGAACAAACCAAAAATAAACAAACAATGTCTGATATTCTATCTATTTTTAGTAATAAAAAATAGCATAGAATACCAGCTATACTGTGTTTCATTCAGTCAATGTTGGTTAGTCGGATCTGACTTCTTTTGATCAAAGTAGTCAAGTATCATTTAGTCAGTCTTAGTTTTAAACATTCACTGATTGGGGAATTAGTGAATCCACAATAAGAAAAATGTCGATTATGCACGATTAAAATAATCATTTGTCGAGTATGGTAATATGGACCACATTCATTAATATTACAATAAACAAATTCATGGTATTGGGACAATCCTTCTATATTAACTATAAAGTCGTATAAAAAATGCATGTTGACTTAAATAGTTTTACTCTAGAATATAAAGAAAGTTTGAGCCATTGTGGGGAGTAATACATTTTTATTGTTTCCCTGAACTGTTTTAGAAATACAATAGCTACTCTTGTAGTGTTGATACGCTACCTATGCATACATGATGAAAGTAAAGCCTTAGAAGAAAATAAAATGAGTCTCATAGTGCATAAGCATTTTTCTAACAATTACCGGAATATGAATTATTAGGGATAGCAATAATTTTTTATTGATACCCTTAATTTTTTGTAGAGCTAGCAATTGCTCACCTGCACTCCTATTGAGCACCGTTCATGTTGACATACCCGTCCCGCCAAAAAGGTTCAAAATTAGTGATCATATGAGAGTCCATCTATATTTTTGATTCGATCATGTATGTTGGTTTTTAGAAGTATTTGGCTCGGGGTTTCCATGCAAAAAATGACTATCGAAAAGAAAGTTTCATAAAAAGAAAACGAAAAACAAACGAATATTCTTGAAACCACTAGTAAGATTGTAAAGATGTTAGGAGTAAACAAGGATTATTCTTCCAAATGCATCAAGTCTTTAAAAGTATAACATAAGATGATCTAAATTTGATGATCATAATCATTATGACTAAACGGAAAAAAATTATGGTAAGTATCTCATTATCTGATGCCTGTGCTGAAGAAATTCATTCTTCAGAAAGGAGCACGAATATACTGAAAAGTGACCTTTATTTCCAGGTTCTTCACATCAGCAACGTATTTTACAAGTTAATCAATATCATATTCGAAATCCTCATCATTAAAAACCTGTGTAACACAAATATAGGCTTTCTCGAAAATTATTTTTCGTCACAATTGGATCTGTGATGGACATTGACGAAACTTGTTTCTTAAAAATTCTATTCTATTGTGAAATCCTTTAATGTTTTAATTTTCACAATCGAACAACTTGTCATTCTTCATTTTGATATTCATCATACATTAAAATAGCATGTAGTGTTTCTTTTGAAACATAATAGTGTACTAGATTTATTCAGCAGATACATATTTTGTTCTTGAAATACTTTACAAGCTTCTGTCATTTTCATTAATATAGTTATATATGCAACATACATTCTGTTTGTTGAAACTTTTTCGAAGGTTAGCATGTCGAAGTAGATACTGAATTTTTAGATTGCATACGTGATAATGTTATCAATGAATACAATAGCTGCTGCTTTACTTGATATACATGCTGATCCATCGTTACTTTCCATCATCGATCAATGGTGGTGTCCGACATGTTCCATTCAAACGGAAGATGTTCCTCTTTGTGAAAAGTGTCAAAAAATGTTTCAGCTATTCGTAGACGATCTTTCTGATGATGACCAATCGAAATCGATCATATTTCGTTATCAATATCCAATCAACGAAAAAGCTAACAATGTGCAATTTGGGGCACGTAATCCATCAAAGCCTATTTCAGTAAGTCCTACATTCATATAATAATTTAGCAAAAATCGTGTTTTCTTTCTCATTCAGGATGACGATCAAATGATTTTGATCAACTCTGATATGCAAGGATCTGAAACATGTATGTCATTAACTGTTCGTGATCGTCGACATAAGCATGAATCTGGTGCTGAAATTATATTTCAAAAAATAATTAAAAATTGTAAAAAGGTATTTACTACCATCAATAATTTCACTTTGTATTTATCGAAAACAATCGTAGACTGATGTCAACATTTTTTTTTCTTTTACCGTTAATTTAAAAAGTTCAACATACCATTTGATAGTGCCCAATGAGAAAATTGAAGTTTTCAACTTTACATATAGAAAACCATTAGAAATGAAGTTATTCAAATCTTTTATAATCTTTGCATATAAAACAAAAAGAAAAGACTATAATGACATATATAAGTATTAAAGATATTCGTACATCATTTTTGTGCCTAGAATAAGATACATTTTGTTGACGATCAGTTTTCTCACTCCGTAAGTTCGATTGGATCAAACTCATTTACACAAGTTTTCAAATGGTTAGAAATAACAAAGGTTGCTCCATCATCCGAGAATGATCGTAAATTATCATGGATAATATTTTCATCACCTACACCGAGTGATATCAAACAAGGTGCTTTAGGCAATTGCTGGCTTGTAGCTGCTTTAGCTTTAATTTCTGAACGATCTCGTTTACTTGAGCATATTCTTCTTACAAAAACAGTTAATAATGAAGGTGTTTATCTTGTACGTATTTGTCATAATGGTTTGTGGAAAACAATTATTGTTGATGATTTCTTTCCATGCACAAAATATGATCATCTTGTCTTCGCTCAAGGTAAACGTCGTCAAATGTATGTTCCATTGATCGAAAAAGCATGTGCCAAACTATTCGGTTCTTATGAAGCTTTGAGAGGTGGGAATATGTCTGAAGGTCTACAATTATTGACTGGAGCACCATGTGATTATATTGATCTTAAACCATCGGATACTCCACTTGATGGTGATAGCGTCTGGGCTCAGCTAATGTCTGCTTGTGAATCAAAGTAAGTTGAACAAAATCTATTGTAAAATGAAAAGAGAGTTTGTATTATAGATTATTGATTGGAACATCATCAGGTGCAACTGGTGTCAACTCAGAAGAATATGCTCGTGTTCACATTCATAATAATCATGCATTTTCTGTTCTTGCTGCCCATGCACTCAATAATGAATCATCTCGCTTTGTTCTTGTTCGTGATCCTCATTCTTATTCAAATTATCGAGAATCATCCGTCACAGAAAATGTTCTGAAACAATTACGTTTAGTTAATTCTGCAAATCGCTCTACAGGTGCTTTTTGGATATCATGGCCTCGGTTTCTTCGTTATTTTTCATCATTAACTATTTCAACTTATAATAGTGATCATTTTGATATACGTGAACAATTTAAATTTACTCGATCATCTACTCAACCTATTATGACTTATCATTTTCATGTGCCAAAGTAAATATGTATATTGTTATGGTCAATTTCTTTTTTTTTTGATGATTCTATATGATATCTTTAGAACATCATCAGTCAATATAAGTCTGATACATCATCGTCATGATCGAACAGCACGTAGTTCTCTTACTCTGTCATTCGTTTTATGCGATACTGACGAATTAGCATCGACTGGTATTATTGGTAAACGAGAAAGCATATTGATAGGTAAAAATGGATCTTTTACATATTGGACAGGTTCATTAAGAGCTGGTTATTATGTACTTATACCTTTCTCAACTAGTTTCTGGCAAAGTCATAAAGAAAACAGAGATTTTACTATTGTCATACATTCAAGTGTTCAACTTGATTTAGCTAAGAAAAATAAACCGACAACATTTCTTGCTGATTGTCTCATTTCAGCTGTTATGAAAAATTCTAAAAAAAATCAAGTCTGTCTATCTGTATTTTTTAAAAACATATTTATTGAATAATAAGTTGTTCTCTTTCTTCCAAGGATAATGAAGCTAGCTTTTATATATCATCAGGTAAATTAGGATCGAAGATATTCATCGTCGAGAATCTATCAACAACAAAATGGTTAAGTCTTGACATGGATATAAAACATGCAACAAACGTTCATCATTCTCGTCTCATTAACTTGCCAAATAAGAGTCATGATTGTATCCCACCTCGACATCGTCAAGTGGTATTTATTGCTGAATGGACTGAGAAACAAGGAAAATCTGCTATTTTGAATTATTCGTATTCGTACAGACATGAAAAACAAGCGACTGATCCACGACCGTCAATTAACATTTCTCAATATGATTTACATTCACCGCGAGCATTTTAGTTTCATATATTGTGAAGATCATCAAATAATTAGTATTCCAGAGAGTTACATTTAGAACAAATTAAATTTCTAATTTTCTTTATATCGTGAATAAAAAGGATGAGAACTAAGATTCTTCTCTGTTTAGTAATACGACAAGGTAAAATAAAATCTAACAACTATAATGTCATTACATTTTATTGTCGATAGATATTCTAATAAAAATTATTTTTATTCCATCGCTTTCTATCAATCAGTAAGAGAGACAGATATACATATATCACACACTGATCATTAATGCTTTTTCAAACCTTCAGTACTCTAATATCTTGTTTGTAATTGATTTTATCTATGAATTTTTCATATCATTTTTTTGTAAGGTCGCTTGTCATTATTACATTATCAATTATATTATTCTCGTATTTAATGATACAAACAAATGTTAAAGTTTCGTTGTTTCTACAGAAAATACACTATACATTATTGAATGGGCATCCTACTATGTAATACTAAGAGTGCATGTGTAGATGTATGTACGTGTTTTCTTCATTCATATCCATTCATACTTCGTAAGAAAAGACGCTAATCAAAATTGTGTAGCACACTATTCGATGAATAGTCTTATTAGAATTCGGCAGTACATGACGTCTTTATACCATCAAAGAGATATCTTATGAGTTCAGATGACGTTAGTGCTGTAGTGATCTTATTATAATATGAATATAATAGACTTCTTCCAACGAAGGTTTGTATTTGTGAATTTTCTTTGCCTCTCGAAGAAGTTAATTGTTGCTAATTACACTCTGACAGAACCCAACGATGTCTTAAATCACAGATAAAAACTTCGCCTATAGTTTTAATACTTTTCTTTTTCCCTAGACTGAAAGGCTAGGATCTAGAAACGGAAATTCACCTGTGTCTGTCTGTCTGTAACACTTGGTACAAATGACCATTTTTGTGGTATAAGTAACCATTTTCGTGGTACAAAGTACCATAGTCGTGGTACAAGTGACCACTTTCATGGTACAAAAGTACCACTTTGGTGGTACAGGCGACCATTTATTTGACACAATTGACCATTTTCATTATACAGATGACCGTTTCTATGACTCAATTCACAATTTCCACGGCACAATCAATCATTTCTATGGCACAGTTGACCATTCTTATGGCTCAAATGAGCATGTCTGTGTCACAATTGGCCATGCCTGTATTAGAAACGGCCATTACTTTGGCATAGATCATAATTTTTAGTCGTTATAATTAACTAAAGCATAAACTTTATCATATACATTAGCATCTTTCAATAGTTTATCTAAATTATTTGTATATATCTATAATATGTAATATAGAACATATTGCCAAGATTAATATTTTGTCCTAGACTCATCATTATACAGAATTCATTTTTATTTAAAAATATAAGGGCATACTTGTCATCATTCCTCAGTCTAGGGCCAAGTGAATCGATATTCAATGTCGATGAACGTTACTTGTTAATCCAATACTGCCATAACTGTGTGACTGTTTGTAATTACTTGTCTGCTGACGGGCTAAGTCGCTTCACTTCTGACCAACGTGCCTGCGACTGATAATCACTCAGATAAAATATCAAAATATACTCAAGTCTATGACTTCTACACGATTGATTTGAACATAATCTATCGTCATGGCGGCCTGTACGCTTTCTACCTAGAAGTTGATAAGGTAAATAACGCTTATGTTTCTTTGACAGGGGTGTGGTTGGGATTGTAATGTTCGGATCAGAAACATTTGGTATATTGAGCCATCACAAATGATAGTGATAATAGTTCAAGAGAGAAGCTAAAAGAAGAAAAAAAGAATGAGAGAGCGACGATAACGGCAAGACTTTTGATTGTTATATGATTTCGTAGTAAGAGACAGAACGCTATAGTCTCAATGCGAATACAAACAACTAGTATAATAAATACGAATAGTAGCTGAAAACGTAGTTTGGGACGTGTACGGTAATATAGGGACAGTTACTATTAAACGAGATAAACCGATATGTCGCTTTTGTTTTGAACAGATTATACATTGCTCGGCGACAATACCCAAAACAGAAGAGATAGAAGCACTGAGACGCCACCATTGATATAGTAAAAGTAAAAAAGAATAAAATCACTGTTCGAATTGTGCCAACCATAAACAGGACTATAATTATAATCCGGCTGTTGATATCGATCAATTCCTAGTTTTCATCATCAGGATGTTTAATTTTAAAGAATATTTCCGGTTTGGTAATAAACACGAGGATGACGAGTGCAAGACTGAGTTTGAATTCAGATATGACGACGAACGCGTGAAAATAAAACAGTGAATGATAAAAGCAAGAGTGAAAAGATAGTTTTTCGGTATTTTCAAAGACGAATAATCTCCTTATGCTTTCATTATAGATATTCATAAAAAGTGTATAAAATCAGGTGGACTTATAGAGATAAGAGTTTTTTATGAGTTAGCCATGACAGAACTATGTGGGCTGAAAAAAGGTATGTTGCAACAAGAATAGAGCAAACAGGTTGTAAATCTTCTTTATTAGAGAAATTCTGCCTTTTATGAAGTGCATTATGGCACGCAATTTTCTTTGCCAGAGCCATCGTTCGCTTTTTTTTAGAAGGGGGAAGAAGTGAGGCAGGAAGTCTTGCAAAAGTAGGAACAAAGTGACCACAGACCAAACAAAGTTTTCACTTTGGGAGAAAGTGGCTGTTCTAATTGAAACCTACAGTGGAATCTTTCTCTTTACCCAAGCAGTTGTTTTTCGTGAAAACTCCAAATAATGCTTTCTTTTTTGGCGAAACTTGAGGTTATCTTTGAAAACTTGGGAGAAAATTTTCTCTTTTTGTACGCATTTATTACATTTACTTTGAAGAAAATTTTAAAATATGGCTAAACAGCAGTCAATAAAAATTTCCAGAGAGAAAGCCCAAATACAAGACGAAATTCAGGAGAAGAAAATTCCTCCTTCCCCTCCTAATTGAGAGTTCTGTTTGCAATATCAAAATACATCAAGTCGCATTGTATGGCATTCAGTAAACTAAAGGGATGCTTTTTGAGCTTTATCTTACGTCTTTTAATGAGACGTCTTAGTGTTTCTGTCTCAATTTATCAACTGTTCTATTTTTGCGTATGCCTTTTTTCTTTCAGGTATTTGATCATTCGTCATTGACAAGAACACTTTCTCTTTAAGTCCTGTATTCGTTCTCTTTCATCGGAGTAGATGCTTTTTTCGTAGCCTTGGTTATTTATTTTCTTAGTAATCCACACTGTCAGTCAACACAGTCACTTTTATTCTTCTCAAAGACGTCGCTGTGAGTTGCAGACTACTCTGTTCTTGTGATTATTTGATAAAAAAAATTATCGTATAAGAGTGTTAGTCTCGTTGAAAGTGTAAGTGAATCATCTTACAAGAAGAAGAATATGAGAATTTCTCTTTTTCAACGATTGAAAATCTCACATTTATCCTTTTCGGAGTACCTTATACAAGGAGGAAAAGGCGGACTTTCGAATTCCCAATCCCTGATAGTACAAACAGGATCTGTCGAATCCCGAGAATACGCAAAAATCCCAGAAGTACAGTAAGAATCTATAGAATCCATAGAATACAATCAAAATTCCAGACATACGATGAAAATCTCAAAGGTTTTCTAGGAAATGCAATGAGATTCAATGATGATATGTCTCTGACCAATAGAAGGTACATGTGTTCATTTGACTAAAGTGTCGAAGGTCAGATTTTTATGTGAAATAGTCTAAAAAGAGAAAGAAATCACGAAACACACCTTATCCTGAGACTTACAGACTGTATCGCAGTAAGTATCGAGGGGACTTAATATTGAATTATTTGTCGTATGCTTAATAATTTATTTGTTTTTCTTATTTTAATCCACAAAGCAAATGGATCTTCCCAATAGAAGATATCTGCGACTACGAAAGTAACGTTCCCCAGATACAGTACAACACCAACTATTGGAAACCCAAAAATACGATGAGAATCTCGGAATAAAATGAAAGTCCCCGGAGTACTATTAAAACCTCAAGGATAAATTGAGAATTCTAGAAATACGGAGTGCAAGCGTACGAAATATATCGAAAATGTAAATCTCATTAATAAATATAAGATAAGCATATCAATCGTTTGAAGGTTTTATGCTTATCTCGGTAGAAAAATAGTATTGAGAATGAGGATGGATGAAGGTTATTGTCTTCTCTTCCCCTCACCCTCATTTAGTGATAAATAGGATTCGTTGTTTATCAGGTTTTGAATCAATTCAGTAAGCGGCCTTCTGATTATATCAAAGCATGGACCAGTAAATCAGTAATGAAAATACAATAATAAATGTTTCGCTCGTACAATTATTTCTTTTTCACAAGACTTTCTAAAATCGAAAACAAACCGTCACAATCTAGTTATTACGCGTTTTATTGCCTACTCACTCTGGTCTAAGTGATCATGATTCCATGAAAACACTTTTCTACCACTTGCCATTGACAAATTACTATAGAAATAGTAATATTTGAAGTTCGCTGACTAAAGATTTCTGGTTTCAAAAATAATCTTTCCTATTTGTTCATTCTTGAGCTTTTCAAGGTAGCAGAAGGCTTCTGGAAACATTAATTCTACATCACATATGTTTGTCGAACATGCCACTTTAGCTATGTATCTTGAATATTTTTCACCCTTTCTACAGACTTAAACCAATATTTTCTGTCTCTTTTCGATCAAGACTAATGAAGGGCTCACAGGATAAGAGGAGAGTATTTTCTGTTAAGAAGTCATTTATGGAGAGATGAAAAGTGAAAAAATAGGATACATGTTCAATATTTCAGTTGAAGAAATGTTCATATTAATCGATTTCTTGGATTTCGGATTACGTTCATAGTATCTGGACGATTGTAGAAAACGGAAAGATTAATGCTCGAGCATGACGAAATCTCTTCACGCTACTTAGTAATGATTGACAAAAAAGATTCCCTAGGCGCTGATTTTAGCAGATTTCTTTTTTTCAATGACTGATGATAGTAGTGTCCCTCTATCGCAACAATGATCATCCAATATTGTCGGTGGCTGAATGTCAATGTGTCCAGCAACTGGTTTGTGATCGTTCACTCAGTATTTAGTGATCTTGCTATTACTAGTATGTAAGAATACATCTGTCTGATCACAGTAGTTGAACAGTCTGGTTCATGTATCTCTACATGTTACCTTATAATTACAGTCTCTTTACGTGCAAAATAATTCTCTATAAAACTATAGCTTGGAAAAAATCTTAATACATCTAAAATGACATTAGAAAGAATTTACATGAAGACAGATGGAACTACGATGCTACATCATAGTTTAAAACGCAACGTTAAAGAGCAACCGTTAATTCCATCTGATGCTAGAATTATCATGCTCTCTTGTTTTCGGTAGTCAATGCAATCTCTGTTTGATCATTAGAACTATTCTTTAGCCAGTAGTAACTGTTCATCTATTAAGATAGATATAACGAGAAAACACCACGTATCAGGGATTCAACGACTCATGCCAGATGATGGAAGTAAGATATCAACTAATTACCCTATGCAAGTTCTCTAGAATCCATGTTTATTTGATGAATCAGATATTATAAGCAAGAAATCCTAAAAATGAGCTTAATTCTTTCTTGTTCATCTATTTTTTTTTATTGGTGCGTGATTTACTAGAGAAAGATGAAACGAAAATTCTCTTTTGTATCTCTTCGATATTCATTTTATAGGATAATCTGTTAGAATTGTTAATAACGTAAAAATCACTTTTTTTCTGCGGGAACGTAAGTATCATTGCGCTTTTAAGGCCTACACATATTTTGGGTATGCCTTACACATGCTCAGAAGCAAAACAAAAAAGTAAGGAAAAAAGCATAATAGAGATTCGGAATCCAGAAAATCCGGTGAGAATCTGAAAAATCCATTCAAACCCAAAAAAAATCCCTAAAGTACAGAATTCGCCTTTTCTCCTTGATCTTATATGTTTACGTGTTTCAGTTAGTGAAGCCTTTTACACTTCTGTACAGTTCACCATCTCAGAGAAAAAAAAATCGGTAACTCAGATAAAAATTTGTATAAATTGAATGTTTTAATAAGAAAATAGTCGAGGAATGCCTTTAAAATATATGATTTCAACGCGTTTTCACGGCCAAAAGGTCAGTTGAGAGAAATTGTCTTTAACTTGATAGCTTGATTGTGAGAAAAATTCAATATTTCTCATCAATCTTCCTGTTTTCGTCGTAGTTCCTTCAAATATGTCCTGTAATACTCCATTGGTGTCCATTGGTCTCACTGTTGCTGGTGGCCATGGAGAAGGCCTAGCACTTAATCAACTCTCAGTTCCAGTTAGTGTCTTCGTGGACGAAGATCAGACTGTCTATATTGCTGATTTCGGGAACCATCGTATTGTAGCATGGAAGCATAATGCTGCAAGTGGTCAAGTAGTAGCCGGTGGAAATGGAAAAGGGAACGAAAATAATCAATTTAGTAATCCAACAGATGTGATTGTCGACAAGGAGACAGACACGCTCCTCATTTGTGATCCTAATAATTGTCGAGTGATGCGATGGCCTCGTCACAATGGTACCAGTGGAGAAGTAATCCTCGAAAAGATCGCTTGTTGCAGATTAGCAATGGATAAGCAAAGATTTCTCTATGTTTCTGACTTGGAAAAGAATGAAGTACGGCGTTACCGAATAGGAGAAACAAATGGAACTGTAGTGGCTGGTGGTAATGGTGTCGGTGATCGTCTGAATCAATTCAATGGACCTGGGTACCTCTTTGTGGACAGCGAGCAATCTGTGTATGTATCGGACAGTCGGAACCAACGCGTGATGAAATGGGAAACGGATGCGAAAGAAGGTATTGTCGCTGCTGGGAGTCACGGTCAAGGCAATGGTTTGTCACAACTGTACAATCCTCAAGGAGTTGTCGTCGATTCATCCGGAACTGTCTATGTAGCAGACGTATATAACCATCGAGTTATGTGCTGGCCGAAAGAAGCGACACAAGGAACTGTCCTTATTGGTGGAAATGAGCTAGGAGAAGGAGCAAATCAATTGAACAGTCCTATAGATCTATTCATCGATCGGCATGGCTATCTCTATGTCGTCGATCACTGGAATCATCGCATACAACGTTTCTCCCTTGCAGGACTAAACAAGTGATGCTCTTTTCTTTCGACTTATATTTAATTGAGCAATAAAATAATTAAAATGAGCAATAAATATATTGAATCAGCAATAACTATACTGAATGAGCAATAGTTTATTTAAATTAAAGATAAATTTCACATAAAAAGGGCAATACGAATTCATTTATGTAAATTGTATGGTTTTTACTGTTATGTGTTTACGTGAGTTCGATTTATTTCGTACGCACTTGAAACGTGGTATATAGAAAAAAACGTAGAAAAAACAATGAGGTTGAGAAGACAATAGCATTTAATATCTGATCTCCCATAGAAGAGAACATTGATATATGTTACATAAATATCAAGAGTGTTGGAAAAATTCCATACATAGGGTAAGATAATCACAATGGACATTTAAATTTATAAAATTGCTCAAAGATAGCTTTCTTATTGCTCAAAAATTAATGCTGTACAGTATCTTAATTATTGCTCATTCCAACAGTTTTATTGCTCAAATAAAGACTAGCCTTCTCTTTCTATTTGTCGAAATTTCTGACACAGAAGAATACATTTGAGATTATAGATAAATATATATGGAGATCAGCTGACGACGCATGAATGTGATAGAAAAGTGTATATGATCAAATGAATCATGCTTGTGCAGTAGTCTTATCTATGTGAGAGTCACTTTTGATCGTTTTATGCTTGAGTCCTAGGTGTGGGTGGGTGTGAGTGTGATTTGAGTAACTGTTAACAACCACACCCGACCCAAGCCCACACCGACACACCCACCCACACGCACACACCTACATCTCCACAGCCACAGTCATACCCAACCACACCCTCACACCCACACCCTTAGATATTAATAGTTATGCGAAAAATAACTGAGATTATACATTCGACCCAATTGGGGTGAATGTAAAATCGAAAGGTAGTGTTCATAGAATACCTTGTAGATAGCTCTACTCACATGATTTCGAGGAACGGATTTCATCAATCGATAGAGCAGACATCCAACTAAATGTTTTGTGCAGAAAATTTTTCAAAAAAATGAAAAATAAAAAATTTACAATCAATATACGTGAGCACACTCATTTTTTGTCTACATTTACCCCATCTTACTCTATCAAGACTCGTGACACATATTTTTTTGCTTTATGCATACTTCAAAATGTAGTTCATTATTTTAAAACTTATAGTTTGGTATAGATGATAGGCTAGGAATTTCATGAATTAAAAATGAAAATCAATATGTTTAGACAGAAATTAAAAAAAACAATCAATGCTAATAATTCTATTAACATAATCGATGTTTATTATTCTAAAGATCACCATCATTTTTATTATTATGATCATTGCTCAGTGAAGTGATAGCTTCTTGATATGCTTGTTTAAATCCATATCGACTCTTTTCAATCATATCTTCATTTGCAGTTAAACATACACGAAAATAACCAGGTATAGAACATACTGAACCTGGCAGACATAAAATATTGTATTTAGATAATAGATGACAAAATGCTCGATCATCTTCTAATGGTGACACAACAAGTACATAAAATGTACCTTGTGGCTTTACAGGAATTTTATATCCTATTGATAATAATATATCTAACATCATATTTACTTTCTTTTGCATATGTTGCATATCAATACTAATAGATAATGTTTCTATATCTTGTATCATATATTGTGTTACACAATCCGGTATCATAAATCCATTCATTCCCATTGTTCGAGGTAAATATATACGAAATAATGAACGATATTCTAATGGTAATTTATTTAATAATGCTACATATCCTAATCGAATACCTGGATTTAATAAGGTTTTAGCATAAGTATAACATATAAATGTATATGGATATACTGTAGCAGGAGAAATAAATTCATTATTATTCAATAGAATACGATTATATGCCTCATCAGATATTAACCATATAGGTTGTGCATCATGACCATATTTTTCTTGTCGTTTATCATATATATCCAATAACATATTTGATAATATTTGTAATGTCGACAATGGATAAATTTTACCTGTAGGATTATGAGGTGAATTAATAATAATTATTTTTGTTTTATCATTTATTTTATTTTTTATATTATCGATATCTAAATCATATGTATTTTTATCGATATTAACTTCAACAGGTATTCCTTGACATCCAAGAATCATTGATTCATATAAAAACCATGATGGAATTGGAATTATTACTTCATCATCTTTGTTTAATAACATAGATAGACATGTATAGATTCCACCAATATTTCCTTTAACTAAAAAAATATCTTCATATTCAGCTGATAAAGGTGATAATGTTTTCGATAAATTTAATGCAATACATTTACGAGAAGGTTCTGTATTAAAATTCGCTGTAGTACAATAAGCATACCAGCTTGGATTTAAAGGATCTACATATTTATGATATGATGATAAAAATGCAGGCAATGCCAAATCATGTGGATTACCAAATGTAAAATCACATAGATCAGATGGTGATGATATTCCTTTTTTATGTTCAGACAGAATCTTCACATACTCATCATTCACAAATGATGTTACTCGCTGATAATGTGGTGAACTTATGGCCGATAATATTCGATGTGATAATATTGATGATGGTATCATAGTGCTTTATATTCGGTCGTTATTTGGGATATTATTAATGATGAATCTTGATACACTATCTAAAGAAATAACCAAAAGATATAGTTTATATTTATATGCTTATTTTGTTTTTTTTTCTAAAATAATAGGTTCTCTATAAACATCAACCTCTCCAACAGTCATTATAAATTTTCAGCAATATTTTCGTAAAACCATTCGGTATGTGACATCAAAAAGGTGGATATTTTCTTTTTCTTCTTACCTTATGACACGTGTCTTCTATCTTTATTTCTTTTTCATTCATTCGTTATACATTTCAAATCTCTTCATACATACAAAGGAAACCAGCTAGATGTTCAAGTATTGAAGAATATGAGTAATATTATTTCTGTTTATTTCACTATCAGATCTTCGTTACAATAATATTATTGCTTATGTGTTAGTATTTCATACTCTTGTCTATATATATGTTACTATTGCATCCACTACTAAAACATCAAGCAAACGTTATCTTTCTCATTTTTTCCTTCAGCTTTAAATATCGAGATAAAGCACGGAGAAAAGAATGAGTAAAGGACTGCTCGCTCGTTTTGACGAGCTTAACTCAGTTTATTTTTTTTCATATATGCAATCTCTTCAAATATGTTCTTAAATCGCTAGGTGTATATAGAAATATATATTCATAGAGAGGAGAAGAAGAACAAGAGAAAAGGAATGAGAAACAACAATAATAATAATAATGATAAATTAGAAAGAAGAAATGAGAAAGAAAGAGAAAGAGCATTGAGAGCAGACAGAGTGTGAATCATCGTTAACAAAGATAAGGTGAGCAATCAGCTACTATAGATCAGGATGCCAGAGCGTGCAACTGAATAGTGATCGATTGTTCTGACAACATTGAGCTAATAGAAGGTAACGATAAGTCATCTGTCTCTCATGACCACAATATGGGTTGATAAAATTATTGAATGTCGAAAAGAGTGAGATATAAGAAATGATTCAAAGTAGTTTTTTTGGTCGGAATCATACTTAAGTAATTGAAAAGTAAGCACTTTAAGCATCTCAGCCAATAGAAAATAAACAGATATCAAATAAAATGTGTGGTTCTAGGTGAAAAGCAGAGAGAAAGTTCAATACTGATGGTCAAAATGTTCAAGCTAGCCTCTTGTTTGTATTGTTTATATTTCAAAGGTCAACTACAGAGATACACATATTCATTCCTAAAATAGGGTGGGTGAGTGTGTGAGTGTGGGTTATCTTCTCTCTTAAACACCCATACCCTGAGTCTAGTTAAAGAATATGCTTTTGTTAATCTACAGTTATTATTTTTTTTAAAAGATATATCTGCTCATTGAATATAATTCGAATATATTCTCTTTTATTATATATAAACGAGTTGATGTAATGAACAGTAATATCAGACTCACATACGTTTGCATTTGGTGTCATTTGATATTTGTTCTAATTGGACTAGATTCCCTAGACGAACTTTTTTTTTCATGCACTTGATCTGCGCAGACCTCAAGTTTTGTCCATAGCGCATGACTTTCTTGCTCAAGACAAACGCTTGAGTGTTGCATGAAAATACACCTATGAATTTTTATTAAAAGTTGAGATATTTTGAACGTAAAATTGCAAAAAAAAAGATAAGAAATTCTTGAATAACAGAAACGCTTGCATAAGAATTCAAGCGCATGTGCAAGAATATCAAGCGATAGAACAAGAAGTTCAAGAGCTTGAGCTCGCCGAAAGAGCTCAAGTCTTGCCTCAAGATTTGTCCATAGCGCATGACTTTCTTGATTAAGATTCTCAAGTATCTCCTGCGCAGACCAAAAGAAGTTCGTCTAGGGTTCTTATTCTATAAAACCAAGTTCTTATTCACATGACATAAATTCAATCAATCGTTTCAACGCATCTTTTTAGAATATCCGTTTTCTCTAGGAAAAACGTATTAAGAAGATACCGTTTCGACGCGTTTATCAAAAACGAATTTTCCAAGAAAAAACATAGCAAAAGAAACGTGTTTTAGCATGTTTGTTTAAGAAGATTTCTTTTTTTACTTGAAAAATGTATTTAAATACATATTAAAAAGAAACTCGTCAGAAGGCATAATATTAAACGCGTTCTAATGATGTTTTAGATAGCGTTTGTTGGGGAGAGAAATGCGTTTTCTTATCACATGTTCAAGCGTTGTTTTTAGTTGACGTTTTATGTAGAAAAAAACGTGTTGTGAATTATCAAGGATGCATTTTAACGTGTTGAAAATAGAACAGCATACGTTTAAACGCAAAAATAGCGGGTTTTTACTAAAAGTTGGCGTCGGAACGCCAACTTTTATAAATTTTTTTTTCGCGGGAACATAAAACGTTGATATTTTCTTATATTTATTGACAACTATCTCATTACTTTCATCTTAGTTAATTCAATTTTTCCTATGTTTATTTAGCAATTTTTTAAAAACTGTAGACACGAACTTGACAGTTATTTTAATAAATAGTT